GATAGACGTACTAGAATAGCTCTGTGGGATGATCTATATACCATTGCAGCAACTATGACTAACCCATGGTTAGTAGGTGGAGATTTCAATGTGATAATTGATGATATGGAAAAGTATGGGGGATTGCCAGTACAATTTAATGAAACTGAAGACTTTATTCATTGTATCAATATTTGCCAGTTAACAGACTTGGGTTTCAAAGGAAGTATGTACACATGGTGGAATGGTAGATCAGATGCAGCCTGCATATTTAAAAGACTTGACAGATGCTTGGGTAATCAAGCTTTGCAGGATTTATTTCCTAATTTAGAAGTGGAGCATCTTATCAAAAAGGGTTCAGATCACTCTCCTCTAGTTATAACAAGTGGAGCAGATAGAAATCCAATCAAGAAAGCATTTAGATTTCTAAACTTTTGGGTGGAACATGAAGCTTTTCAGAAAGTTGTAGCAGAGAACTGGCAAGAAGATCATAGTACTGACCATTTCTTTAACTTTCACAGTAAACAGAAAAGGGTGAGTAAGGCACTATCTAAATGGAGTAAGGACTCATATGGAGACATATTCAGACATATAGATACTTTGACAGAAGTGGTACAGATCCATGAGCAAGAATTTGAGAATCATCCTACAAACACTAATAGAGAAAGACTACAGAAGGTGCAGGCTGATTTAATCAATTTATATGCAGTAGAGGAAAAGTTTTGGAAACAAAAAGCGGGAATGCAATGGTTTGTGGATGGGGATAGAAACACAAAATTTTTCCATGCACATGTTAATGGAAAAAGAAGAAAATTGCAAATAAAAAGAATCCAAGATGATAGAGGAGAATGGTTAGATAGAGAAGAAGACATAGCGCAAGAGGCAATCAGATTCTACACAAAACAATTTACAGAGGAAAGACTTCCAAGTGACTTTGACATGCTGCAGTATATACCTAAGATGGTATCAGAAGAACAAAATATTGTAATTAATGAACTACCAGAGGAGGAGGAAGTTAAGAATGTTGTATTTGGACTAAATGCAGAGAGTGCTGGAGGACCAGATGGATACACCGGTAAATTCTATCAGACTTGCTGGGGTATAATTGCAAAGGACATGACGAAGATGGTGAAATCTTTCTTTTGTGGGCATGAGTTGCCTAGGTACATCACATGTACGAATCTGACACTAATTCCAAAGAAAAAAGAAATCACCACTTTCTCAGATATGAGGCCTATCAGTCTAAGCAACTTCACCAGCAAAGTGTTTTCTAGAATCATCCATGATAGGTTGACTAAGCTACTGCCAACATTAATATCACCACAACAATCAGGCTTTGTTAAAGGCAGAAGTATTGTAGAAAACATTTTACTAGTTCAAGAGATAGTTCATGATATTAGAGTAAGGGGTAAGCCTGCTAATGTTGTTATCAAATTAGACATGGCAAAAGCTTATGACAGAGTATCTTGGATATTTTTGACTAAAGTGCTCAGAAAAATAGGTTTTGGGGAGATCCTAATAGATATGATTTATAGAATTGTATCCAATAACTGGTACTCAATACTAGTTAATGGACAACCTCAAGGGTTCTTTAAGTCCACAAGGGGAGTAAAACAGGGTGATCCCTTATCACCAACTTTATTTATCCTGGCTGCAGAATGTTTATCCAGAGCTCTTAATGCACTTCATTGTAGAGATGGGTACAAGGAGTATGGAATGCCAAAGTGGAGTCCCTATGTGAACCATTTAGCTTATGCAGATGATACTATCATATTTGCATCAGCAGATAAATATTCTTTAGAGCTGATAATGAACACCTTGCAAGAGTATGAGAAGGTAAGTGGACAATTGATTAACAAAGCAAAAAGTGCGGTCTTCATGCATCATCACACCCCCCAAGTTCTAGTGGATCAGGTATATTCTGTGACAAAAATTCCAAGGAAAGATTTTCCTTTCACCTATTTGGGCGTGCCAATGTATTATAGCAGGAGGCAGAATATTTTCTACAAAGAACTTTTGGATAAAGTCCAAAACAGATTGAGTTCTTGGACTGGAAAACTCTTATCTATAGGAGGAAGGACAACTTTGATAAAATGTGTCCTGCAGAGTATGCCTATTCATTTATTATCAGCATGTGACCCTCCAGCTGGAGTCATAGCCCAACTACACAGAATGTTTGCTAAATTCTTCTGGAGCAACTCAGTTGGAAACTCTAGTAAACACTGGGCCACTTGGACAACATTATGTCATCCATATGAAGAAGGAGGAATGGGTTTCAGGAGTCTTCAAGATATATCTAAAGCATTGTTTGCAAAGCTATGGTGGAACATGAGAACTAGA